TCTCTTCAAACTGGATATCTTTTCAAAATGTTCAATAATGCAATAAAGCAAATGGATAGATTGACCCATAGCCGTGTGCTGTCTGTATATTAGATTAATAGCCAGAAGATAAAACAAGCAAAATACTGAGACCTTTTTAAAAATAAATACAGACAACTTGACGAACAAAAATTTCAAAAGGTGAAAGCCGAGATACACAAGTTAAATACTTACAAAATTGCCCAGATTATTGCAAACATATATTTTCTGGAACATATGCCCAATCGTTATAATCGTTAGATCGAAAGAAATGATGAATGCTTGTTAATATTTTACACTGGCACTACTAGTTATTAAGCATACGTATAAGCTTAATATTGCCAGCAATTGCGGGAAAGGCAAGGAACTACACGTTTAGAACATGTCTGTTTCTATTTCGTTTTTTTAAAAACACGATTAAAATACTTTAAAGCTACCAGTTTTACTTTTGATATTAGAGTGAATGAACTCAAAATTCGCTAATGTCGTACACAATTTAAATATTTTGCGTCCTCTTTATCTACCTTTAAGGACACTGATCTGATATCGCTACGGATTATCAACTCTAGGCATGGTTTTCGACAGCCAGCTTATATCTACCTATATATAACAATTTTTATATTATAAATATTATCAATAATGTAACTAATTACATATAATACGACTACTAGCATAAAAGTTTTATACATTTTACTAATATATTACTGGGTTTAAATTTAAGAAAGCCTTTCCCGAAAGAATCAGGTTTTTCTAAGATTCAAAAATAAACTACTTTTCATAAAATTTGAAAACTATTTCTACAATATATTCAAATCTTTAGAGCTGACATAGGCTAAACGAAATTGTGAAGAAGTTCAACAGAAAAACTGGTTTACATATTTCTGTCATAAAGGACTATTCCTTCATTTAGCCATACTGCTGTACTAAAACAAAGTTATTAAATAAGAATAACTACAAATAGGATATATTTGTATATATCCTTTGTATATATATTATATATAAGAGATGATTTTTTTATTGAACTATTATTTTTTACATAATAGGTTATAGCACTGAAATCAGATGAAGATCTATACAATTTACGTAGGCACAATCATTTAGGTCGTCATCTAATTCCATAACAAACAATCTTCAACAGGAACTCTACAAGAAATAGTCGGCACGGTTTATAGAGAATTAAATATTTAACTTTTCAAACATAGATTAAAATTGACTTTAATTGTAAGAACGGATGGTATAACCGTTTATATTTATAAAAAATAGAAATAACTATATGAAAGTTATAATATTTGCTGAGATATAAGTTATAAAAGAAAAGTTCTCTCAAAAAAATTATTTTGATAGTTAATTATTGTGGATAGTAGTTGTATGGTTTGTTTTTTTTTTAAACAAAATTAATTAAGTGTACTATTAAAACGATATAGGTAGATTCATCTGTACAAATATCTTAACTAGAATAATTTTTACAATAAAGATGAGAGATACTTAAAACGGACTTTCTAAATATGGTCAAAACAAAACAAAATTCAATATGTAATATAAAATCATCAATCAAATTTTTTACTAACAGACATTAAACTTATTACTACAATATATAAAAAATAATTATGTACAAAGTATTGTAGCAATCAAAAAGTATTTACAACTAATAAAAATAAATCTCTTGACTTATTGAAATTATAAAGACTCATTGAATGAAAAACCACAAACATTCAAGGAATTTATTTGAAATTAAATCTGATAATGAATGGAATACGCTTCTAAGTGTGGGAGATAATATAAAGCAAATTCATGTCTATGGTTTCAAGGTCTTCACAGCGACCACTGAACTACAACAACTGAATACCTTACACCAATAATCGCCAAAACAAAATCAAAAATATATTATTACCCATCATATTTATATATATATCCCCCTATGCTTAAAAGACTCTACCTATCATCTAGATATAATCTGTTAAAAGTCCTACTAAACTAAGAGTGAAATTGGAAAACGTTTAGAGATCGCTGCTTGAATGATATAAACGATTTATTGCTTTTTTTTGGCAAATTCCGAGTGGATCTTTTCAAATCAACAAGTGGCTTTAAGTAATACAATTACTTTTTGCTCTTCAATATTTTTCTTATTTATTCTATTTTTATATCTGGGAACTGTGCAAAGTCCGCACGTTTGTTGTTCAGCAATTTAAAAGTACCTCACTGGGTATAAGTGCAATAATTATTGAAAAGAAGAAAGTACATTCCACACTTTTTCTTTGTATTACTAACAATATCAATAAATAAGAAACTGAATTCAAACTAAATATTGAATGGGTTTATTTATTTATTTATGGTTCTCTTTTGTACTTTTGTTGATAACTGATAAAGAAAACAGGCTAACAATTTTTTTTCATGATAAGACACTTGAATTTTTTCAGTTATTATATATGTGAGCATTGTTTGTTAAATTGCTCATATAGTTTATATACGCTATTATAAGTTATTACAAGGTTAAGTATTGTATTTGTTTTTGATAGCACAGATGTAAATGTAATATTTCGATATCTTTGCAGTAGTGACCTATTAACTTAGTATCATTATTACGACCAAGACAGATAAATTGTTTTCAATGTTTCAATGTCATTTGTGATGACTTACTATCATTAACAGTATGAATGGACAAACAATCAACATAAATAATAAAACAATATTATACTTATTCACAATAAATTTTAGTCTAGAACCGTAAATATCATAGAGATACATTAAACTTATTTAAATCAATACTTCGTTAAATGTTAACAAATATATGCTAATAAATTGTGTTAGTGGTAAGAGAATCGCAATTAAAAAGTATTCCTAATGTCAAAAGATAAACATCTTTTATGGGATTAATATTACCTTGTTGAAATCTCTATCCATAAAGTTAAATAAATCAAGAGCTAATACTATAGAGAGTAAGCAAAATATAATAGAAACTTAAATTTTAGCTCTTCGAAATACATGCTATTATAAAGAAATATCTATTATATCTGCAGAATGCATCAATTAATTATTGGTTCAATAAAACAGCTTAGTATTAAGTTTTTACGCCAGCACATTAATCAGAAGAGTTACAGAATTGCTATTTTATTTCGTTACCAACAACCCTTCTAAAAGATGTAAGGAAATAATATAAGAGTATAAAAAACAATACTATATAATAAAACCCACAATGTTCACAATCCCTATAAAAGAGCAATTCTAATTTCCAATTTACTACAATTTAACGACTGATTTTAGTAAAGCTAGCTAAAAAAAAATTTTAAAACCATCAGCTTAACCTAACCTACATTTTGAGCCTAGACACCATTTGAATTATAATGAATTCAAATAAAACTTTATTTACTTACATACAACTATCATATCTATTCCTAGAATGATATATAATTCTTTTCAAAACAGAAAAGCCTTCGGTAGAGGTCATACATCACACATAACATACGTATATATCAATATCACTGTAACCATCAATAGTTAAAATAGTGATGTCATTAATCATTGCTAATATCTAGCACTTTTCACCATCATCATGTTTGTCTCAAAGAAGACTCTGATATGAAGACAATACTCGATACAATCTTTTACACTACTTTGATGAATTACCTGTCCATAATTAACAATTTATGCACGCTATTTAATTTAGTGGTGGCGCAAAGGAAAGGATTTGTATGAGACTTTGTTTGCAACAATAGAGCACCACTAAAGAACTATTTGCTTTTCTTGAGATATGGTAACTCGAGCTCGTTTCTAACTAACTTCTTTCTATATAAATTAGGAAATTACTTTCCTACGTAAAACAATAATGATATGATAGATACATAAGTAGTAAATATTACTGAGTAACTAATAACGATATTAAATAATGCAATATATATTTCTACATACCTAATTACGATATAAGACTATTTATGTTATTATTATTTCTGTTACATTATAGAGTCAATTTATTTCATATAAAAATAGTTTTACGTTTTTTACGAGAGTTTAATAAAATACTCTATTTAAATAGAATAAAAATATGTACTATTAAACACTTCCAAGACATTAGTATTAATATATTGACAGTAATATTCACAGATTTATCAAACTTAACTATAAGAATAGTTAGAATTATATGTGTGATGTGTTTCTGGGTATCAAGAACGATAGAAAAGTGTTATCATACTTTGTAGGTACTATGTGATTGATTATGTATTATATATTTAAAAGGTGAAAGTATAATTCTCATTTGGTTTATAGACATTCTTTTTAAAAGGGACTCGAAAGAAAACTGAATTCGTTTAGAAACCCAACTACTAAGCTCCTTATGTTTCACCACCTAAATACTGGACAACAATTTCAGACAGAAGTGTTTTACAGCCTGATGGCGAGTTGTTCTACACTCATTCCCAAGAACTTGTTTTAGTAGTCTAACACTAGAATTTTTAGTGGTATCTTGAATATCAAATCGAAAATGGATTTGCTGCTTACAAGCTCTCCACCGTACTCAAAATAATTTAAATGAAAAATAGTTAAATGATTTATCATAATAGAGAATCATGAGCATTAAAAATTTCAGCATAATTTATCTCAGCATAATTTATTCCAACAAATTCTAAATGTGAAATAAGTTTATAAATAAGTTTTAGATTAACATTACTAACAACAACACAAAAGAAAAATTTATAAACTTGTTTTTTATTATGCGAGAAGAGCAACTGACTGGCACGTGCCAAGTGATAACGGCGGTTTCCTTTCACCTCAACCGCAAAAATGTTCGATGAGTTCTGATTTGAAAATCCGTTAAATTGGCCAACAGCTGCACTTCGCTTGCATAGTCAATGGAAGCAACGGTGGTGGATGTAAAAGTGTGGTCAATTTTATTGTTCTGACAAGTTATTAGTTTAGCTTGGGTTCTCTAAGCATTTTTACTAACTGCAATATTTTTGAACTGATTCAATAATTTAAATTGATTTACTTACTATTTGTTCTCGCACTGTATTGTGAAAGACTTGAAGTTTAATATCCGTAACTTCGTCCTCCGCATCATCCATGCTCATATCAAAATTTTGTTTATCGCTTATAGTAGCCAGTTTAATAAATTTAATTCGTATAATTTTCACACACGAAAAACTTTTAATTATACGCAATAACACTTTTTTTGTTGAAAAAAGAAAAATATTCGCCCTATAATTTTGGTATTCAGCTTAGGCTGTTCGAGATTGCTCTGTACTTTTTTTATTTGTAAAAACAATTAAACAAGCGTTTAAGCGTTAGGGCATTTTTAACATATTACTTTAATATCAACTTTTTTTGGTTATGCTTAATTTTGCAAATAGTGCTTTTACAATTTTCACTTTATTAATTTGCATCACATCACATTTATTCGCAATTCAAACAAAAACAAAACACATATGACGACTCACAATAGGAATTTTTAAATGCCAATTTATCAATTTAAAACCATTCGCTGCACAAAATTTCCTTCATGTAAATTTTGCGTTTATTCTATTCTAATATTTTTTATACATAAACAAAAATTATAAAAATATTTAAAATATTACTCCGCCTAGCCACATAGCTTCCACTTCGCACTAGAAGGCGACCAAATGTAAACTGAGGTGAAATAATGGTGGTGGTAGTCAAATATATAGCACAGTGTTGCCACTTTTTTAACCAGAAAGCACATCTGCAATTGGGTTACTCTACATACATGAAAAAAATAAATTTAATACTATAATTGCAAAATTTTATTTAAACAATTTTACAACTTTGTAAAATCAATTACACATGCTCTAATATATCTTGTCTACATAAATAACGCCTTTTTTCATCTTTTTGCATATATTTAATTGCTTATAAATTTTTTTGTTTGTATGGTTAATTAGTAAAAAATATTTATTTAAAAAATATTGAATTGAGTTGTATTTGAATTAAAACACTAGATTCACTATCACAGAACTTCAAATCAGAACATACAAGTTAAATACGTCATTAAGACAGTTTACTAATAAACATTGACTCTGAGCTTAAAATTTGCCAGGGTACGAGTTCAACCCTTGCTAGGTGCATTCTCAAAAAATTATTTACGTATAATTATATACAAGAAATAATTTCGAGAAAACTGATGATGGATACTTGGCAGTATTCGAAACAGTTGTATAGTCAACCAAATATTCAATTAGGAAAATATAAAAAAGACTTATTGTTGTAGTTTACTACTTTTCGAAACCTATCTACCAAATATAAAATTTTATTTGTTGATTTCAAACAAAAAATTATATTAAAGTTTATTTAGAACAATACTCCTGTTGTAGTTTTTTCTTATTTTAACAATAGTCATAAATGTTATATAATATTATTTATTTAAATAAACAAGCTATAATTTTTATTTAAAATCAACAAATAGAAGTGTTTTTATTTTCAATTTTCAAATCATTTAAAACAATGATATATGATATATATGACATCCTGCAAAAAAAACTTATTACTTATATATGTCCAAAAAAGATTTTGTATTTATTGTTGAAAAACATACAGCGTATGCCTAGTGCTAAAAATGTACCAATTCTTTTATAAAACGTTTACCTTATTTAACTTAATATAATTTTAAGTACAAAATTTTTACAGATAGAAATTAATTTTAGAATAAGTTTGGATGCGCTAATAGAAAACGCTGTTAAATACAATAAATTTCAATTTTTGGGTAAGCAACGCTAAAATTCAATAAGTGTATTATCTACAATATTATGGTACAATTTGAACTCTATTACATTACTAGTTATTCTCACCACAGCTGTCTACTAACTTGCGAGAGTGCTTGTAAAGTTTATGTTCTTGTGCTACTTTTATAATTAAGTTATTACTGAATATTACACGTTCAACATGTCGGTGGTTATTGAAACCACAATCGGTGATATTACGGTTGATTTATTTACCGAGCAGCGGCCAATTGCGTGTCTCAACTTCATAAAACTGTGCAAGCTGAAGTACTACAATTACAATTTGTTCCATACAGTGGAACAGAATTTTATTGCCCAAACTGGTGATCCTAGTGGAGCTGGAAATGGAGGTAGTTCTATTTGGGGTGTAATTGAAGGTCCACAAAAACGATTTTTCCAAGCTGAAAATTTGCCAAAGATAAATCATACAAGCCCTGGTTTGCTGTCACTAGTAAGTCCAGGTAAAAATTTGGTTGGCTCGCAATTCTTCTTTACATTAGACTCTAATTTAACATTTTTGGATGGTGTACATTGTGTTATTGGAGAGGTGGTCGAGGGTATGTTCTATAATAGATTTTTTTATGTTTTATATATATTAAAAATTCGAAATTTCTAGGTTTTGATATATTACGCACGTTGAATGAAACTATTGTCGATGATAATAGTCGACCTTTTCAGGACATACGCATTACACATACTGTTATACTTAATGATCCATTTGATGATCCGCGAGGTTTTCAAGTGCCAAGTCGTTCGCCATCACCCAATGAGGAACGTCTAAAAAATGGGCGGATTGCTGCTGATGAGGACATTTATGACACAGAAGGCAAAAGTGTTGAAGAACTGCAGGAGATGATAGCCGATCGTGAAGCAAAAGCACGTGCAACTATTTTAGAAATTGTGGGTGATATTCCAGATGCTGACGTAGCGCCACCAGAAAATGTACTATTTGTTTGTAAACTCAATCCAGTAACAACGGATGATGATTTGGAAATAATATTTAGTCGCTTTGGTAGAGTAAAAACTTGTGAAGTTATACGTGACAAAAAAACAGGAGATTCTCTACAGTATGCTTTTGTTGAATTTGAAGAGCAAAAATCATGTGAAGCGGCTTACTTTAAAATGGATAATGTACTTATTGACGATAGACGTATACATGTAGATTTCTCTCAATCTGTCGCTAAAGTAAAATGGCGAGGTAAGGGCCGTGGTGTGGATGGAATGCAAGGAAAGTTTGATTTTAACGATTTAAGTGAGGAAAAAAATAAAAAAGGGGAAAGTAGAAATACTTATAAAAATCGGCGTCGTTCACCTGAATATAGACAGTATGATAGAAAAAATAGATCTCCACGTCGAAGTCGCAGTAGAGAACGCCGGGACTTTTCTGCTAGAAAACGAAAAGATGATAGTAGTGAAAGATATACTAAAAGTAATAAATATAATCGCAAGTCTCCTGCACATAATGATGACGCTAAATATCATCGAGCACGACATCAGAGTCAAAGTCCATCTCGTAAGCATAGGTCTAACTCGAAGAATCGTAATATCAATCGTGATGAAAGGAGCCGATGTAGTCGTAGCCCAGCACGTGTACAAAACGAATATTCTAGAGAGCGTGAAAATTATCGTAAAAGAAGAATGGAGGATAACTCTAGTCCTGACCGCACATACAAAAATCGTCATAGTCCCCTGCGTGGACGTCGAGCTGACCACAATGATTATGAAAGAAATCGTCACCATCGCAATACGCATAGTCCACCACGCAATTATAGAGATGAACGTAAACATGACAGGCAAAGGTCTAACAGCAATAGTCCTTCACGCCGGGATAGATTAGATCCCAAAGTGTGTGAACGAAAAAATGGTAAAAGTAATGATAATATAGAGCATAGACGTCGAACCGAATTAACGCAACATGAACAAAGCGAAAGGCACAGCAGATATGATAGTGTTAGTAACAACCATAAACCCTTGTATGACAGCCGCACACGAAAGGACCACAGTGTGGATAAGAGTATAAAACCTTCACATGATGAGAAAAAGAAACGTAAAATGAGTGAACAAAAGGATAGAAAAAGAAAGAATAAAAAAACTAAAGACTCATCCTCTAGTGAAACGGAATCTAACAGCTCAACTAGTGACAGCAGCACAACTTCAAGCTCCAGTTCAACTAGTGACAATAGTACACCCTCAAGTTCCAGTTCTAGTTCTCAAGATGAGCGTAAACGTAAAAAAAATAAAGAAAAAAAATCTAGAAAAACAAGCAAAAAATATAAAAAATAAACTTTGTTTCTGATTTGTATATATTTGGTTGTTTTTTCTTTATTACCTTATATTAAAGCAAATTTAGTTAAACTTTATTAAAGTTATATTAAAGCTATTAAATTACATTATTTTTTTTACATTTGTAAGCCTTTTACATTCCTACGTTGCTTTTTATAAACGTTTATTTTTAAGCCTCGTTGTCTATGTTTTATTATTTTGAGCTGTCGTTGTTACTTCTTCAGTGGAACCACAACCACTACCACGGGAGCGTTTTGGACGCTCTAACACTGCATCAGGATTGAAGGGAAAATTATCTAACTTAGTGGTATCCTTGGTAATTTCCACAGCTGTTGAATATAATCCGCGTTGACATATATTTTAAAAAATTTGCTAATTCTACTTACTGAAAACATTGTCCTCTTTTTGTACAGCTTGTATGACATTCGTACGTAACTCCTTT